CCATTGGGCAAAGATAAGCCTGGTTTTCCAGGCTGTATTTATGCCAGCTTTCCTTCAGGGGCTGACACAGTCAACTTGGTATCGTTACAGTTTGATCAGCGGTTTCCACATGTGGGGTCTGGGTGTACGAGGTGCTTGATCCTCAGCTTCCGCCATTCCCCAGCTCCATGTATCTTCCCCAGGGAATCCGCTTCCCAGTTCTTGGGCCCTAAGTGTCTTTGCACCTCCATTCTGCTGCCGGGTCTGTCCCCAGTCTCCACCAGGCTATTGAATCGGAGTTCATTCTACTCTAGATGAAGCTGTGTATCCTCGTTTAGCCCCTGGGGTCAAGCCACATCAGGAGCTGCTTGCAACATGATAGGACAGACTCGCCTGGGTCTACTACCTGCGTGGCCCCCTGGGAGACACCCCTCTTAAGGGAATAGGGTTGGGTATGACAAGCTGGGTCCAAGTGAAGCTTCAGAGATGGAGATGTAGGGGAGGAGGGACTCTGAGTTCAGTGTGGCAGTGATCACTCCGCCTCTGGGACTCACGCCAGGTGTATAAGGAGAATGGAAACTGCACGTGAAAAAGGGAAAGGTGATTTCTTTCTTAATTTTTTTGGGCGGGCCGGGGGGAAGGGTGATTTCATGGAAATAGGAACAGCTCTGCTTTGGGAACGCCTTCATGGAGTGTAAAGGGAACAGTGAGCAACTCTGGCCCCTGGTGTCCAGCCTGGGAGGCAATGCCTAGAGGCAGTGGTCATGTTGGGCGAGGGGTGCCCAGAAGATCAGGTGGTCCTGCTCAGAGGACACCACGTGGCAGCTGAAAGGGCTAGTTTAAGAGCACATCTGAGATTCCCTCTGGAGGCTGCCATCAGTATTTAGGGGGAGAGTGGGTCTTGGCAGGGGGATAAAGGGTAGAACCAACGAAACCTGAGTCATTACAGCGAGTGACCTTTCGCTGAGCCTGAGGCTGCTGTGACCAGGAAAATACAGCCAGCATAGAAACAGATTCACAGTCGGGCGCCGTGGCTTGCGCCTGTAATCCCAGCACTTTGGGAGGTCAAGGTGGGCAGATCACCTGAAGTCAGGAGTTTGAGACCAGCCTGGCCAACGTGGTGAAACCCCATCTCTACTAAAAATATAAAAATTATCTGGGGGTGGTGGTGATGCCTGTAATTCCAGCTACTTGGGAGGCTGAGGCAGGAGAATTGCTTGAGCCTAGGAGGCAGAGGTTGCAGTGAGTTGAGATCATGCCACTGCACTCCAGCCTGGGCAACAGAGAGAGACTCCCTCTGTCTCAAAAAAAAAAAAAAAAAAAAAAAAAAAAAAAAAAAAAAAAAGCAGCAGCAGTAGCAGATTCATGGAGACACTACTGCTTGGAATTTGGTGATGCTTCAGGGAGTGGAGCTGGCCTATGCTCCAGACAGGCATAAACTATCAATGTAAACACAATTACACCTAAGCCTCTGCAGGCATGGTGCTGATGCTGTCCCTCCCAAGCAGGTATCATCCGGATGGGTACAGGCCCTAGAGGCTGACATTTTTCTTTTCTTTTCTTTTCTTTTTTAAGACAGAATCTTGCTCTGCTGCCAGGCTGGAGTGCAATGGTGCGATCTCGGCTCACTGCAACCTCAGCCTCCTGGGTTCAAGCAATTCTCCTGCCTCAGCCTCCCAAGCAGCTGGGACTACAGGCGTGTACCACCACACCCAGCTGATTTTTTTGTATTTTTAGTAGAGACGAGGTTTCACCGTGTTAACCAGGATGGTCTCAATCTCCTGATCTCATGATCCGCCCACCTCGGCCTCCTACAGTGCTGGAATTACAGGTGTGAGCCATCACGCCCGGCCAATGTTGACATTTTTCGAGGCAGCTATGGAGTTTGAATTTTCCTCCAAATTTACATTGGCTATTTCCCCAGTTCAAATTAGGCCTGACTGATTTCTCTTTCTCTTTCTTTTTTTCTGAATACGTATCAGTTTTGGATTGAGGCCTAGCATTTCCACTACCATCCAGAGGAGAGATGAGAAAACCAGAGTTGGGCTCTTCATCCCAGGGGAAAAAGCAACGGGCTGCTCTGGAACGCTGCAGAGTCAGGGCTGAATGAATGCAGGAATGGGGCAGGCAGCCGGGGAGTGTGCCGGCCGCGTGACGAGCCTGCCATAGTGTCCGGATGGACATGTGGTATTTGGTTTAAAGCCCACGCTACTGGGGCATAAACAGCTGGGGATAAATGATCAGACTCAATTGTTCTTTCCTTTCCCAGGAAAGGCCAGGAAGGAAAAGGCTCCAGTTTAAGGGAGAAGGCATTGTCCTCAGTGGATGAAGCACAGTCAGGTAGCCCGGTCTGGCAGGGGGCCAGTGGGGAGCACGAGTTTCTCATGACTGCTGTGGCTGGTGGCTGCCTTCACAACAATAGCACATTGGACCCCTGTCCTTCCCATCCTGCCTCTGAAACGATCACATCGATGTTAAATCTCTGATAAGATACTTTCAGATACTCTGAAGTCCAGTTGGGAACTACAGTCCTTGCTTGACTCAATCCGGAATCCTTTCTCCCTCCCTGGTCCCATCTCCCCATCTGCTCCCCCACAGTTCTTCTCTCTATCCAGCTGCTAAGGTCCCTCGGCCATCAGAGGCGAACAGAACAAACCTAAGACATCACTCTCCATCAGGAGGCCTGCATGACTCTTTATTTGCACCAGAGTTTCTCATCTTCCAGGAATAAGAGGAGGAGCTGCTTTGGGGACACCCACTTCCTCTCCTTACGTAACAACACACTGCATTTGCACAAGTGTCCTTGGTTGTAAAGGGTTCCACACTCACTTTTTTATTCAGGGCCTATTACAAGAGTCTAAGGTAGCTAGGATCATGGTGACACTGATCCCTTGTCAAAGATGAGGCCACTGAGGCTCAGGTGACTACTGTTGTGCCAGGAGTTGCTAAGTGGTGGATCACAGACTCCAGTTCAGGGGGAGATAGGGTGGTAAAGAAGCAGCTGGATGAACCTGGGTTTGAATCCAGCTCAGAAACATTCCATCTGTGTGACACCACAGGCAAGTGACTTAATCTGATTGAGCCTCAGCTTCCTCATCTAGAAAAAGGGGTGATCATGCATCCCTCATATGAACATTTACAAATCATGAGTGAAACATGCATAGCATAGCATGGGGTTTGGCAGATAGAAGTCCAATAAATGTCTAAGCCCATCTCCAGCGTTTCTTCCAGTTCCAAGCTCAGGACTGTCCTTTAAGCCAAGTGAACATGTTTTGGATGATTTAGCCCTCTCCTTTCCCCCATCCCTCCCCAAGTGACAGGATGTTTATTTGCAGCTTCGTGCTGCAGAGAGCTCTGCAAACAAGGAGTGGCAGCCGTAACTTTCTCCAGCTGGCACAACAATGAAAGGCCACAGGCCCTGGGGCTGCTCCCTACGGATGTCCAGTCTTGGGAAACAGAGGCCAGGCAGCAGGCTGGCTGCTCCGGGCACTCCCTGTGGCTTCTTCACTCTAGCTGGCTACCCAGTATACTGACTAGGAAAACGGCCTTTGAAAAGGCCCACCCTGTGGTCACCATGATTTCTAGCAGACCAAATGAGTGTTTTCCTGGTAGCACTGTCAACTCCTCTTGCTGGAGACAATTCTCTGGGAGCTCCTCAGGCCCTGCTAGAGCACTGTGTGCTTGGCTTTCTGAATGCTTAGAGGTGACAGGTGCTTTAGCGGACATCCAATCCACAGCGGTTGCTCAGGCAGCACCACACCTCAGGCAGCAACTCCAACATCATCTGCTTTAGCTATGGGTCCTTCAGGTAAATGTGGCTGGAATGGCTGGAAGACAGGGTTGGGTCTCAGTGTTGTTTCAAAATAAAAGCTGAAGACAACTCCCTGACTATTCACAGGGGGAAACGAGGCACAGAGGGGGCAAGTGATCCCCAAGGTCATACAATTCTGCCAAGTGCAGAGCAAACACTGCAGACTGGACTCCTGGTCTACTGCTTTTCCATGGCATCAGCTAAGATGACTGCTCTGAACCTGGAGCTACGGCAGCCCCTGATGATGACCACGGGCATCTCCTACTCCATTCTGGAGGCTCCCTGTTGATCCCTAATGTGGAAGTCCCCTTCTTCCTCCCCAGTTTGTAATCGCAGTGGGCACTGGGGTTTAGCCATCAGCAGCAGAGGATCCTGCTACAGAAAACTGAAGGGTGGTACTGAAAAAATCATCAGATCAGCAGAGAAGTCCTGTCCCCTTATCCGCAGGGCCTTGGACGGCTCCTCCAACCAGGCACATGTCTCCTTCCTGGGCTGCACTCAGCTGTGACTGGGCTCCTCTCTCTGGCATGCCTCCTCCCTGTCAAAGTTCTTCTAGGTTTTCCCCCTTCTGCCTCCTTTTTTCTTCCTCCTCCACTTCCTTCAGTCTTCCTGGGGCATTTCAAGCCTCGTACCCATCTGTGAGTTCCTCTTGGGCTCGTGGTAAGGTCTAAAGTTTGTTATCAAGAGAAATTCTAGCCAAAGTAGATTGTGAATATGAAAAAGAGAGAAATTACAGCAAACAGAACTTATGCTTATAATAAAATGGTCTAAAATAGAAATGTATGTGCCAGGCGTGGTGGCTCACACCTGTATTCCCAGCACTTGGGGAGGCTGAGTCGGGTGGATCACCTGAGGTCAGGAGTTCGAGACCAGCCTGGTCAACATGGTGAAAATCTGTCTCTACTGAAAATACAAAAATTAGCTGGGTGTGGTGGCGTGTGGCTGTAATCCCAACTACTTGGGAGGCTGAGGCAGGAGAAACACTTGAGTCCAGGAGGTGGAGGTTTCAGTGAGCCGAGATAGTGCCACTTCACTCCAGCCTGGGCGACAAGAGTGAAACTCTGTCTCAAAAAAACCTAAAATAAATAAATATATAAATAAAATAGATATGTACTTATGCAAACCATAGAAAAATGTTTGGCAACCATCCCAAGATACCTGACAATGTGAAATACTTCTATTACCACTGGCCTGACCTTCAAAGGCCTTCATGGCCCCTGCCTTGCTGTTATCGTCTATATTCCTCTTGCATCTTCCACTCAGCACGAACAGGCTGCATTGCCTCCAAAACGCACCACTTGAATCCTGCCTCTGCTCCTTTGTCCATCTGAATCACCCTCTCCACGTTTCTGACCCTGCAATCCTGATCTCACTTCATGAGGAGGCAGTTCGCTTCCCTTTTGCATTTAGCTTTCCCCAGGATACACTGTCAACAGCCTACTACTGTCTGATGTCATCAGTCAGCACTTCATCAGAGACAATTATGTCTACAAAGCTTTTGGCTAATTACTGTCACTCCTCCTTACACATGTGCATATGTATATCATCTTTCCCTAGTGAGACTGGAAATAATGATTCCTTCCCTGGAGGAGTGGTTTCCATAAATGACCAACCCACTGACCAGTGCAAGCTAGCTGCGAAAGAGCTTCCTCTGAGGAACTTATTAGATGCAGATTCTTGGACTGCATGGGAAAGGAGGATCTCATAAATGTGGCTGTAATAGACACAGGACATTAGGTGTAATATGGGCAGGACTCCGGACTCAGCATATCCAACAAGCTGCTGGCTGATTCTGATGGTGCCAACGAATTATCAGGTTGGGAACTGCTGCCGCCTGAGAACCTAGCAGAGAGCTGCCAGGTGCTCACTCCCCTATTGTTTGGGTGCATGCCTCCTGATAATGAACTTGATCATAACATTATTGTTATATTATGCCTGTATTGTTTCCTTAAGTGAGGGAAGAATGCTTTTGAGTACCTAATAGGTGGCAAGCTCTGTGCCTACTTACATACATGATCCATTCCTTTTAATAACCTTTGGAAATAAAGTGGTATTTTCATTGGGCATTAGAAATCTGAAAACTTTCGTTTACAGTTGTTGCAACAGCAGAACTAGAATTTGACCTCCGACATAATGGGCTCAAAGTCTGTGACCTTTCTACTTACCAGGGGGCATGAACTGCCGGTTTGTATCTGGCTTGAAGATACCTTCGCTGGGCAGCACAGTGTTCAAAATTTTAAAAATTTACCAACACTTCTAAACTGGATACTTTGTATTAATATCTGGGTTTCTGGCTTCTCTTCATGGGAAAAACAAACAAACAAAAAAGGTTTGGTGAACACTGGGGCCCACATTCCTGCAGGGCAACAGTCACATGGAGCCTTTAGATGGGCATGTGCCTAGAACTCACTACAGTCCCCATCACTCCCTATTCTCTTACATCCTATTCCCAACTAGGTTCTCATAGGCCTGGGTTTGTGACTGCTGCACACTTACCTACTCTCTTGCTTCCCACTGGTCAGAGTCTGGCAAACTTAAAACGCCTCTTTTTGTTGCTTTCTCCTGTATGGATCTCTGATCACAGAGGTGTGTGCATTTCTGACCTTGTGATTTCAATACTAAGGAAGCTGTTGGTACATTATCAAGGGAAACTGGGATCGCTGCTCCCCAAGTTACACATTCTGGTGTGTCCCAGTAAAATTCTATATTCAGCCTCCAAACTAGCTGGGAAAAATGTGGCAAATCATCTTACTTGCTCCAATTCAGTGGTGTTTAGAAGTAAGAAGTCACTGTGAGCAATGCCACCAAGTGGTGGAGAGACTCCGTGCCGAATCGCCACCTTCAGCCAGAGAGGCTGGGAGGCTCAAGACCTCTCAACGCACAGGGCCATTCAGAAACTAGAAACAAAGTACTTGCCCGTCTCCCGAGGCTGGTCCTTCCAAGGTTTTTTTTTTTTTTCTTTTGAGACAAGGTCTCACTGTCACCCAGGCTGGAATGCAGTGGCACAATCGAGGCTCACTGCAACCTCAACCTTCTGGGTTCAAGCGATCCTCCCACCTCAGCCTCCAGAGTAGCTGGGATGACTACAGGCATGGGCCACCACACCCAGTTGATGATGATGATTATTTTTTTTTAAGAAATGAGGTCTCGCCATATTGCTCAGACTGGCCTTGAACCAGCCCACTTTTAGCTTTTTAAAAGACAGCCTTGGCCAGTCATGGCAGCTCACACCTGTAATCCCTGCACTTTAGGAAGCTGAGGTGGGCAGATAGCTTGAGCCGAGGAGTTCAAGACCAGCCTGGGCAACATGATGAAACCCCATCTCTACAAACATTAGCTGTGTGGTGGCGCACATCTGTGGTCCCGGCTACTGGGGAGGCTGAGGTGGGAGGATTGCTTGAGCCTGGGAGGTCAAGGCTGCCATGATTACCCCACTGCATTTACAGCCTGGGCAACAGAGTGAGACCCTGCCTCTATTAAAAAAAAAAAAAGAAGAAAAGAAAGAAACCTAAAAACAGACTGGCACTTAAAAGAGCTGTGCTTCATTTTTTGACTTTCTGTATTAATTTTCTGTTTGTTCCTTTCCTTAAACAAGCTGCCACTGCTGCTGATTCAACATGTTTCATTTTATACCTTTTTTTTTTGAGATAGAGTTTCGCTCTTGTTGCCCAGGCTGGAGTGCAATGTCATGATCTTGGCTCACTGCAACCTCTGCCTCAGCTTCCCAAGTAGCTGGGATTACAGGCATGCACCACCACGCCCGGCTAATTTTATATTTTTAGTAGAGATGGGGTTTCTCAATGTTGGTCAGGCTGGTCTTGAACTCTCAACCTTAGATGATCTGCCTGCCTTGGCCTCCCAAAGTGCTGGGATTACAGGCATGAGCCACTGGGCCTGGCCCATTTTATACATTTTTAATATGTATTCTTGTTTTTGGAAAATGTGAACAGAGGGCTATTAAACTCTTTTAGAGTCGGTATAGTAAAGAGGTAAAAAAAAAAAAAACACAACAAAACAAACCAAAAAAACCCTCTTTGTAAGACAGGATTGAATATCGTTGGACTGAGCACTTACCAAGCAACTGTGCCAGGCATTTGTGTCCATTTAATTCTTACAAGCCTGAGTGTAAGGTATTTTAATTTTATAGGTGAACAAATAGAAGCCGAGGGTGAAGGACCTACAGCTGTCACCTTCATTTCTTCGCAACACTGCCAACTGTCTCCTTGGATCTCCCAGACAGACAACTAGGGATATCTGGTTTCTCAGTGCCCCCTACAAACCTAGACTCATTTCAAGGCATTATGCAAATGAGAAGCTTTCCTTCTCTTCACCTCATCTCCTGATCTGCACAAAAAAGACTGTAGGACCCCCTGTAGGTACCAATGTAGGCACCAATCCTCAGTTTACCACCTGCTCTCTACTTGCTTCCCTGCCATAACTTTCTAAAAGGGATGTGAGCCATGTTTAAAGTCACCTGGTCACTGCAGGGATCTTGTTCTACCCTCTACATCAGTGGTTGCCAACCTTTTTGGCACCAGGGACTGGTGTCGTGGAAGACAATTTTTCCACGGACTTGGGGGGACGGGGGGAATGGTTTCAGGATAAAACTGCTCCACCTCAGATCATCAGGCATTAGATTCTCATGAGGAGTGCACAACCTAGACTGTAGCACGCACAGTTCACAATAGGGTTCGTCCTCCTGTGAGAATCGCATGCCGCTGCTGATCTAACAGGAGGCAGAGCTCAGGCGGTAATGGGAGTGAGGCAGAGCGGCTATAAATACAGCGCGCCGCTCACCTCCTGCTGTGCAGCCCGGTTCCTAACAGGCCATGGACAGTACTGGTCTGCAGCCCAGAAGGTGGGGAATCCTGCCCTACAGAGTTTCCAGCCTCAGAGATGAAGCATCCCCTCTGTAAGTCAGAAAGAAATTATTCAAGTAGCAGAATTAAAACAGGATCACAGAGAGGGAAGCTGAAGAATTTGACTTTCTGGGTTTACTCGTATGAGGAAAAACAACACATAGAGGCATCCACAGTATTTAATTTGTTTGGATAATAGTTACAGATAAACAGGTACACCCCATATACAATTACCAATACTTTTTATACAGTTCATATTTCAGTACATCAACACTATTTTATTTACACTCTATTTATGTACATTAACATCTTTCTAATGTCAGTGCATTGTCAACAAGTTTTATACAGTAATTTACAAGGTGAATGTAGTTAATAGTTAATTTAATAAATTTTCTGCTAGTTCATGAATTTAAAAAATTAATTACAACCAGTATAACAAACACAGATCAAACAACATTAGTAGATTGTGCTACCTGCTTAAATAAAACATCTGTAAAGAAATTATTTAAAATCTTCCACTTTTTAATGGGACATGTCCAGGTAGGAATGGACAGATTTTATATACTGAAAATCTTGAAACTATAAAGTCTGCATTTTGTCTGACTTTATTACATTAGACAATTGAGGCCACTCCTACCTACTTGCAATTATATTTTCTCTGAAAAGGATTTCACTTTAGGTAGCCATTTAAGATAACCTTTCCAAATGCTTTGAGAACTAGATATTAATAGTTACTGGCCTCAGATATCAGAACACAAATGCTTAGTTACATTGGTAATTACTACCTATGAGGAAGAAAGGGTAGTGGAATCTGACAGTTAATGAGAATCAACTTGCAGGATCTAAATGAATAAACAAAGACCAAAAATAAGGTGAAACATTTCCTTCAAGTATATATTTAAAAACTACATGAAAAAAATGCTACCTGAAATAAATAATATTTATACTTTTGTTCCAGTCTTGAATAATTGGAGGAAAAAATGAAGTAAGCAAAGAAACATAACTTTCAATGACTACTGTAAAATTAAAAAAAAGACAAATATCAAAATAAAAAAATTACTGGACATGCAAACAAAGCAAAACTAAAGTTGACTTCCTAAAACCACCAATTTCATTAAATATACTTATGAACTCCTAATGTCTGGGATGTGTTTTGTTTGTAATTTATAGCCCTTAGAGCCATCAAATACACACAAGCAAGTTCATCTGCATGTGCTCTCTCTTTTTTAAAGTGCAAAGCAAACACGGAAAAGAACAACCACTAATTGTGAAACGCGATCTAGCTCCGATGCTGCTTACCTTCCCAGAAGCTCTTGTTGCAACATGTGCATGTGAAGATGGTGCAAATATTGGCAACTGCCCCCCTTCCCTCAGCATGGGCGGGGCCGGGGGTGCAGAATACATTTCTGAGGATACTTGAAGTATCCTAAATGTAAGATGCCTCTGCTGGGAGGGCCATGGTAGCTGGATTTCCCAGGATGCTTTTTCTTTCTACTGGGTCTTCTACTGGGTCTCTGAGTGGAAGGCACATAGCTCTTAAGAGAGCCTCCCTTTTAGACTGACCACTATATGCCCCAGCTACCAATGACTGGTTGTGTCTCAAACATAAACACAACAAAAACAAAAAGCAAGAAAGACAAAGAAAGGGTAGCGAAACAGTTTTAAAAAAAAATGGAAAAATCCTCGTCCATGCCATAAGAATCATTTGCACACCTTCATGATCTTGCTTTCTCCATCTTGTCAATATAATGGAATAAAACTTCAGGAAAAAGGAGGTAGCATATCATGTCGTCCCTAGACAACATTATAATTTTTTTTTTTTTACTTTGACTCCAAGGAAATCTTTAATATTTGTTATGATTATTGGTAAACTCTATACTCACTACATATTTGTTCATATCTGGACAAGCACAAATTGAATTCTTATTTGGTCCCAGGTGGCTGGTGCCAAACCTTTTGTTTACAGGCTAATGGTGGGATCTGCCTGAAAGTTCTCTATCGGAGAGCTTGTATGAGACTTCAAAATAAAATTATTACTACTCTTAAA